AAATCACAACCACATCAGCAGCACGAACCTCAACCACATACAACAGCAACATAAACTACAGTTGCATCACCAGCAACAAAAATCACAACCACACCACCTCCAACATAAACCACCACCACATAATCAGCTACACGAGTCCCTACCACATACAACAGCAACATAAACTACAACCACACCACCTAAAACACACAAACGCAAGCAAACACGTCATTAAGAAAAGTTCACCACTTATCTTAATCTCTTCACCATGATAACACAGAAAAGTTCATTAGGTCGACGAAATGTGTTGCGACCAATACTTTATCGCCGTCATTCAGTAACCGATACATTGGCTTATAAATCTTACATTTTAAGATAGTCAGTTCTTCGAATTGCTCCCTCCCCCCATTTTATTCTACCAGCTGACGTCCACCCATGTGGTTTCTCACTGGGGTCTTTCCACTGGGTTTCTCCCACTGGAACCTCCCATTGGGGTCCTCTCACTGGGGTCCTCTCACTGGGGTCGTCCCATTGGGGTCCTCCAACTGGGGTCGTCCCATTGGGGTCCTCCCATGGGGTTTCTCACTGGGGTCCTCCCACTGGTGTCACTGCGTCAGCCGTAGACCAAACCATCAACCTATCCCCTCCTGCCCTCCCCACTTTTCACTTCTTCAAGGTGTGTACACGTTGCCCAACGATACCGTGCTATTATTTACACACATATTTACCTTCCATCCACTTACACATCTCTTACACATCCCTTACAGACCCCGTATACATCCCTTACACCAAGAAACAGATGGGGAACAAGCCCGGCCAATACATTGGGCCTACCCACCTAGAAGACACGATTTGAACAGAACACCAAACACAAAATAAAAGACCGGATCAATTCGACGTTTGAGTTTCAAGCGACTGCCTTCAGTTCAGAGCTTGGGCAGGTTATCAAAGTACAGTCTCATTAGAGAGGTCATTTAAACGGAAAAAATATCGGTCTCATTAGAGGGGTCACGTAAATTGAGGGGGGGGGGGATATCTCTGTCTCATTAGAGGTTTTACGTACATGGAGGAAGAGGTATATTTCCATTAGAGGGGTCACGTAAATTGGGGGTGGGGGGGGGGGGTATCTCACTGTATCGGAGGGGTCACGTAAATATCATTAGAGGTTTCATGTAAATGTATGGGGGGGGGGGGATAACTCGTCTCATTAAAGGTTTCACGTACATTGAGAGTGGGTAATCGCATAAGAGGAGTCACGTAAATGGATGAGGGGGAGGGGGGTATCTCATAGTCTCATTAGAGTTTTCACTTAATTGTGGCAAGCTCCTCACTGTACCAGTCAACTGATCCGGCATGTTTTACCGAAACAAAACCTCCCCACAGCTCGCCAAATGTGCCAGTTGACTTAAGTCAGACCAAAACATAAGGGAAGTTCAATCACAAAATAATGCCAAAGCAATCTATAAGGAAAGTTTCAATCACAAAATAATGCCAACAGCAATCTATAAGGGAAGTTTCAATCACAAAATAATGCCAACAGCAATCTAAAAGGGAAGTTTCAATCACAAAATAATGCCAACAGCAATCTATAAGGGAAGTTTCAATCACAAAATAATGCCAACAGCAATCTAAAAGGGAAGTTTCAATCACAAAATAATGCCAAAGCAATCTATAAGGAAAGTTTCAATCACAAAATAATGCCAACAGTAACTATAAGGAAAGTTTCAATCACAAAATAATGCCAACAGCAATCTATAAGGAAAGTTTCAATCACAAAATACTGCCAACAGCAATCTATAAGGAAACGATGAAACAAAAGACGGGGCCTTGGTAATGTTGTGTGGACGGACGGGTCCACTAAAACAATTGGCCTAATTAAATTAATCGATCGCCCAGTGGCAAAGTCCCGGAAGAAAGTGCACAGGGCAAGTTGAGCTCAGAGCTCAGGGCAAGTTGAGCTCAGAACTCAGGGCAAGATGAGCTCAGAACTCAGGGATTCGTTTTTTTATGAAGGGAAATTTCAGTATGGGCATCAGAAAGATTTGTTTTTCTAATTTTGTTTTAATGCTGGAGTGTAAAAAGTGCGATTGGTGACTAGAATATAAACTAGAACCAGCGGAGTTAACTCTACTAGAACCAGGGGAGTTAACTCTACCAGAACCAGGGGAGTTAACTCTACTAGAACTAGGGTAGTTAACTCTACCACAACCAGGGGAGTTAACTCTACTAGAACCAGGGGAGTTAACTCTACCACAACCAGGGGAGTTAACTCTACTAGAACTAGGGTAGTTAACTCTACCACAACCAGGGGAGTTAACTCTACCACAACCATGGGAGTTAACTCTACCACAACCAGGGGAGTTAACTCTACCACAACCAGGGGAGTTAACTCTACTAGAACCAGGGGAGCAATATTTCGCGAGTCAGGTTATTTAAAACTCAGGATCATTTATTCGATTAGATCAATAAATATTATCTACTGACGAAAGCGATGGTTAAAAAAGTGGATTTAACCTTAAGCCTCCTTCACATCTCGATAAAACATCAATTTTATATTCAATACACCATTACTTTAATTGTTGCACTCAACATGCAACTTGAGGTGAATGTTTTATGTTTCCTCAGGCTTAAGCTGACAGATGTTGTTTTGTTGAGTACAATGATGACTAGTGTTGTGGACATTTAGTGTACTGAGATAAGGCCTTGACATTTTGTGTTGTGAGATAAGATCTTGACATTTTGTGTTGTGAGATAAGTGAATGGACATTTTGTGTAGTGAGATAAGTGAATGGACATTTTGTGTAGTGAGATAAGTGAATGGACATTTTGTGTAGTGAGATAAGTGAATGGACATTTTGTGTAGTGAGATAAGTGAATGGACATTTTGTGTAGTGAGATAAGCGAATGAACATTTTGTGTAGTGAGATAAGTGAATGGACATTTTGCGTACTGAGATAAGACCTTGATATTTTGTGTAGTGAGATAAGTGAATTGACATTTTGTGTAGTGAGATAAGTGAATGGACATTTTGTGTAGTGAGATAAGACCTTGATATTTTGTGTAGTGAGATAAGTGAATTGACATTTTGTGTAGTGAGATAAGTGAATGGACATTTTGTGTAGTGAGATAAGTGAATGGACATTTTGTGTAGTGAGATAAGTGAATGAACATTTTGTGTAGTGAGATAAGTGAATGGACATTTTGTGTACTGAGATAAGACCTTGATATTTTGTGTACTGAGATAAGTGAATGAACATTTTGTGTAGTGAGATAAGTGAATGGACATTTTGTGTAGTGAGATATGTACAGGGACATTTTGTGTAGTGAGATAAGTGAATGGACATTTTGTGTAGTGAGATAAGACCTGGACATTTTGTGTAGTGAGGTAAGTGAATGGACATTTTGTGTAGTGAGATAAGTGAATGGACATTTTGTGTAGTGAGATAAGTGAATGGACATTTTGTGTACTGAGATAAGACCTTGACATTTTGTGTACTGAGATAAGTGAATGAACATTTTGTGTAGTGAGATAAGTGAATGGACATTTTGTGTAGTGAGATATGTACAGGGACATTTTGTGTAGTGAGATAAGTGAATGGACATTTTGTGTAGTGAGATAAGACCTTGATATTTTGTGTAGTGAGATAAGTGAATTGACATTTTGTGTAGTGAGATAAGTGAATGGACATTTTGTGTAGTGAGATAAGTGAATGGACATTTTGTGTAGTGAGATAAGTGAATGAACATTTTGTGTAGTGAGATAAGTGAATGGACATTTTGTGTACTGAGATAAGACCTTGATATTTTGTGTACTGAGATAAGTGAATGAACATTTTGTGTAGTGAGATAAGTGAATGGACATTTTGTGTAGTGAGATATGTACAGGGACATTTTGTGTAGTGAGATAAGTGAATGGACATTTTGTGTAGTGAGATAAGACCTGGACATTTTGTGTAGTGAGGTAAGTGAATGGACATTTTGTGTAGTGAGATAAGTGAATGGACATTTTGTGTAGTGAGATAAGTGAATGGACATTTTGTGTACTGAGATAAGACCTTGACATTTTGTGTACTGAGATAAGTGAATGAACATTTTGTGTAGTGAGATAAGTGAATGGACATTTTGTGTAGTGAGATATGTACAGGGACATTTTGTGTAGTGAGATAAGTGAATGGACATTTTGTGTAGTGAGATAAGACCTGGACATTTTGTGTAGTGAGGTAGTGGCTAGTTCCTGCAGGATAAACTTGGATTCATTGTCTTATCTTTTAATCCAGTTCATTCCTGAGATACGGGCTACGGGTAAGGTTTGTTTATTTTCGAGATAAATCCTGGGATTAAGATTAGTTTGGTTAATTCCTGTGATTTAGTGTTGAAAGAAAAGCAGGCTGAAATCTGAGTCAACGACCTAATCAGATCAACGACCTATATGACGCTCAACAAAGTGACACGTAATACTTAATTATGTTAGAGGAAATCCCGTCCACCATTACAATTAAGAGGCGGAAGTGTTGATTAGATCCTCAAGTTAATACAGAACTTTCCAGAACAGTCCGGCTACCAATGTATTTATAGCAAGGCTCATGGTTTATGAATAGAGGTCTCTGAGCAAATATTGAACGTTTAAAATATCGATACCGCTTGGCTTTATGTGACTATTTAAGATATCGATATTGATGTGCATCGATCACTTTAAAATATCGATAACGAAGTCTTCGAGTATTTTAAAATCTCGATGCTTGATGTTTTTCGAATACTTTAATATATCAATACCGATATTCTCCGATTACTATCGATGCCGATGCGTTTCAATTACTATAAAATATCAATAATGATGTTTTTCGATTAAAAAAAAAAATATCGATACCGATGTTCTTCGATTACTTAAAAATATCGATGACATTGAGATTCGATTACTTTAAAATATCAATACCTATGTTCTTCGATTACTTTAAAATATCGATACCGATGAGATTCGCCCGTGCAAAAATGAGCTGCAGTATGTCACGAGAGAGACTGACCTTCTAGAATGATCCTCAGGAATGTAAGACACCTTGGCATCCACCGTGACCAGCGGATCACCCGTGACGTCATCGTACCACAATTGACAGGTCAAGCGAATACCCACGTTGAGCTCCACCAGGCCAATGACCTTGACCTGGTTCTCTAGGTAAAAGGCCGAGTAGACGAGAATCTTGGGAGTTCCCGGCACGTGCTGGAGGGGGAAAGGGGGGGGGGAGAGAAAAAACATCAGATCAATACATCCCATCGCTTAGATGAATCGGTATTAGGGCGGTGATCTCTTTCCTTCACGGTCGATTCTCTATCCATCAATAGCTATTTTAAATGTGGGGTCACGTGATTCTTTTGCTAGTTAAGATTATTGGTGTATTATATAGGCCTTAACAGATTTTTTTCTTACTATTTGACATTTTTTTGTCAATGCAACGAGACAGGTTTTTTTTTTAAAGATCAGTCGAAAAAATACGAACTTGGTCTAGTTTGTTAGCGATAAACCATAATACATAGGGCTAGAGTGTGTGATAGAGTTAGGACTGTAGTGAGGTTATTTAATCAGGGTGGGGTGGAGGGGGGTGGGGTAGATTGTAAAACTTTTTAAAAATCGACTCAGTCAATGTTGCTACATTATTTGAAGGAACAAAAAAATGTGTTCGTGCCAATATAACAGCAACATATTCAGTACATTAAAACTATTTTTGTAGTTCGTGTATTGAAGTTATGATGTTTGATTGAACATTGAGACCTTTTTGTAAGAAACCATATTGCTGTGGGGCATTTATTTATGTTATCAGCCTTTTTGCCGGATTTGTAATTTTCGTTTAGCTTTTTTACCTTATTGTCATTAAATACGTCAAATACATCTATAAGTAGGTGGCTAATCTTAGTTTAAGCCACCTTCTCCCCGTTTTCATTACACAAACATAAGCTACGCATGGAAGAATTTGGTCATTGCACTCCCGACATTCACCTATGATAAAAAGTGTCCCCTCTTCCCTAAAGGAGAGAGGCCCTCACCCCTCACATAGCGATTGTAGGAAAAAAAGTCACAGGAAAAAAAAACACAGGAAAAAAAAACACAGAAAAAAAGTCACAGGAAAAAAAGTCACAGGAAAAAAAGTCACAGGAAAAAAAGTCACAAATATATATTTGGATGATATTTGTTAATACTTTTATGTATTAAACATTTAGAGAGTGCAAATTAACTTAGGATTAATTAAATGTAATGTAATGTGTGTAGGCTGTATACGCATAGGAATTTTTATAATTCATCTAAAAATATTTATTATGAAGTATGTAGATTGTAGTTATGTTAAACTTAAGATTGGAGCATTCTATTACATGCTACTAAAGTCCACGGTTTTCATCGAGTTTTTTTTAAATACCAATATTAAATTACCGTGAAATGGTAAGTTCATCTCACTTGCTGCCCTCAACTCATGGCAACAATAGTTATGTTTAGTTCAACCACCTTTACTGCCCACATTTATCACGCTCATTACATAACAAAACTGAGGATCAAAACAGAAAGCCGACAAGGTTCAAAGGCTGTCTTTGACGCGTAACGTCAACAACACAAAATATGTTCGGATAATGCCTACTGAGGAGAGGCCGACCAGAGAATAGCCTACGGCAAAATTTGCCTAAATTTCTTTTATAATTAACTTTTCTACCGCGTTTAACTAAAAACGTAACAAGTTGAGATTGTTGTGTAAATTATCTTAGAGTATGTTTACTTACAATTGTTATAAATCATAATGCTTTTAACGTATATAAATAATTTATGCTATCAAAAGCTACAACCCACAACAATAAACATACAAAATTTTACAATTCTTAACAAATTAATAAAAAGATTTCTAAAAAGATTTGTGTGACTTTTTTTCTGTGACTTTATTTCTGTGACTTTTTTTCCGATAAAATTTTTCCACTGTGACTTTTTTTCTGTGACTTTTTTTCCTAGCAAAAACTGTGACTTTTTTTCTGTGTTTTTTTTTCCTGTGACTTTTTTTCCACATAGCTACGCCCCCATAAGGGTGGGAGGCCCTCACATAGCTACGCCCCCATAAGGGTGGGAGGCCCTCACATAGCTACACCCCTATCAGGGCGGGAGGCGCCCCACCCCTCACATAGCTCCACCCCCTGTTGTCCCACCTGCTCCCACTCACCTGAAACCCACCCCCTGTTTTCCCACCTGCCCCCACTCACCTGAAACCCACCCCCTGTTTTCCCACCTGCCCCCACTCACCTGAAAGCCGACCCTGACGTCAGCTTTAGACAAGCTAAGACCCGGGCACGTGATGCTGGAGTTGAAGCTGCTGCTCTTTCCTTTCTCGTATCGGGGGATGGCCAGTGGACCGGAGGCTGGGGACAAAGGGAGGAATCAATGACGTCACCAGCAGACACGTGACGTCACCCTCAGACATGTCAAGTCACCCTAAGACACGTGACGTCACCCTCAGACAGGTCAAGTCACCCTCAGACACGTGACGTCACCCTCAGACAGGTCAAGTCACCCTCAGACACGTGACGTCCCCCTCAGACATGTGACGTCACCCTCAGACACGTGACGTCACCCTCAGACATGTGACGTCACCTACAGACGTCAAGTCACCCACAAAATGAGTGACACTTCTGTTTATTTTCTATTTAGACATAGCTTAGACATGACATACACACGCTAGCTCACCACTGCTAGATCTGTGCACTCAATAGCTGTGGGCCCTATATGTTAAATGTCAACCTTTAAATGTGTTTATCAGAGGTGTCACGCCGTTATTACAGTCGTGTGACGTGACGCCGTTATTACAGTCGTGTGACGTGACGCCGTTATTACAGTCGTGTCACGCCGTTATAACAGTCGTGTGACGTGACGCCGTTATAACAGTCGTGTGACGTGACGCCGTTATAACAGTCGTGTGACGTGACGCCGTTATTACAGTCGTGTGACGCTGGAATGATCAAAAACTCAAGCTGCAGTTAGTAAATCAGTCAATGTCATAGATTTTTCACACTTTCAATGATTGAGTTGTCGAAATTTTGTTACAATGTTATTATGACGAGTATAGTTTTCACTCGTAAGGTTCAAGAAAAAGGATTAGAACTCGTGACTTTCGTGAAACGGTCCCACATTGTTGGTACAAGGCAGTAGTTTAATATCATGAACAAAGACCACAGAGGCGTAGCGAGGAGGGGGGTGGGGGGGGGGGTACATATGTCCCCGGGCGCCGACCCTGGGGGTGCCAAAATGGGTTGAAAAAAAATTAAAAGCTCATTTTAGCTGCAGTTTTGCATTATAAATATAAAAAATATATGCGAGGGGGGCGCCAAATTGAAATTTTGTCCCCGGACACCGGGAAGGATCGCTACGCCTCTGCAAGGACCCCATCTGCCGTGAGTGTCCTACACATGTATAAAAATAGACAATGTACTCACGGGCCATGTACGTCCCCGCACGTGGGGAGTGGATGAAGACGAAGACGTTGATGCAGACGATGAAGACGACCGTGACCGTCGTCCACCGGACCAGTTTGGACAGGTTACATCTCATTTTCCCGCGCTATGACGTCACTTCCTGGCTGGACTCGCCGGGACGGTCAACACGTGTGAAGGCTAAATCTGCTCACTGCCCCAGGGGTGGGGGCGGGGGTGGGGCAGGTGCTCGCGCCGAACTAGC